GCGGGGCCAGGGGGGGGGGGAGGTGTGTGTGTGTGTGCTTCCTTTCCACGTTTCGTTTCCGCGGGGCGTTGGGTTGCGCATAAGTTTGTGCTGTGTTGTCCCTTGGCCCACAACCCAGGGGGTCCGTTTACCAGACTATTCAAAAACAACAAATAATGAAAACGATACATTCCACAACAACGCATAACAATTATGCAAAACACAATGCTGGCGCCTAAGGGGTACATTTTGCAACACCTGTTGTTTATGCATTCAATGCGTTTTGCAGTTTACCACAAACGTTGAAATACTTTTTCTTTGCGTTTATGGATATTTCACAAACCTAATACATGCACATTGCGTTTTGAAGACTTCTGGTGTTTTCACAATGTGTACCTTTCGTTTCCACCACTTGAACGACATGTGTTTTGAACACTATGCGCGTCATAACTCAGGTGCTTTGGAATAGTCGTGCACTCGCTTCATATTTTTCATGTTTCCACATTCCTATATTTATTTTTCTTTTGCTACTCGAATTGTTTGGAATATTCTGCCCTCTCTGGGCCCTCATGACACCATAGATCGTGTGGCAAATCAAGCCATCAGCCATGCAGGGCAAATCAAGCCATCAGCCCACATGGTATAGGTTATTCACCCTGACCCAGCAAATCGTCGACTCCCCGTCTCCCTGCCTCCCTCTCCCTGCCTTTCCTCCCCCCTCCCTCCCTCTCTCCTCCTCCGCCCTCTATGGCATTTCCTCTCCTCCTCGTCGTCGTCCCTCCCCTCCCCTCCCTCCTCTCGCCCAGATTTCCTATCCCCTCCTGCTGCAAACCTTTGCTTTCCTGTCTCCCTTTCCCCTCCTCCCCCCATCCCTCTCTCCCCTCTCCTCTCCCTCTCTTTCTCTCTCCCCCCATCACTCTGCCCTCTATCCCCCCTTCCCCTGCCCCGCCCCTCCCCCTCTTCCCGCCCTGCGCCCTCGCCGCGCACAGGCTCGCGGATTTCATCAGGGCCAAGCAGGACAGGCCGATCACGCAGCAGCTCATCGAAGACTCCTTTAACACGATCAAGTGCAAGAACGACTTGAAGAGCAACACGGTGTGCGCCCCGAACTTCGCAATGAGCCAGCTCATAGACAACCGCGTGATGTCGACCAAGTACGGCTTTGATGAGATCAACAGGCACTACGAGATCGTGGACCGCGGCAGCAAGCTGCCCGAGCATGGCCACACGCCCGTGCTCAAAAAGTGTCTCCTGGACCCGCCGACGCGGGAGTGTGAGTTCACCGCCATCGGTGGCTTCTCAGACCCTACGTGGTTCAGCCCAGGGGCCCAGGGAGCTTACGCTCCCCTTGCTGACTTGGAGGCTTCCAGGCAGGCCAAAACCTACGGCAACTTGGCCAAGCTAGAGAACAAGTCTTATTGCAGGCTGGTTGGGCCCAATATCTTGATCAAGCGTCGGGCTGGCGAAAACAACCCGTGGATGCTTGGCATGGGCTCCATCGAGGGGTCGCTGGCAGTTGCATGGCCACTTCGGGAAGAGCGAGCAGGCCAGTTCACCCCAAGGACGAACGATGCAAAGCGGGTGCTGATCTCCATCTTGGAGCTGGACGATTGGGTTGCGCAGCCCATCAAGTGGATGTCCCCGCTTCACCAGGCCGTCTGCGCCGAGTTGGACGCGCTGGACCACGGGGGCGCCCAGGCCACGGAGGTGCAGCTCAAGAGCGGCGGCGAGTACGACTTCCCGATAGTTGCGTGCGCCGTCGGGGCGGAGGAAGGCTTGCTGCAAGTTGCCGCTCGTGAGGGGTTTGGGGATCTTCCAGCCGTGTACTTGAGGGAGGTTTGCGACCGCCTGGGGCTGGAGTACGCCGACAGCACCCTCATCTCGCTCCTCATGGCGCTGATCAAGAAAGCTTTTCCCGTTGCCACGGACGAGGCACTCATCGCGTGCTTGCAGAAGCGCGGGTACCATTTCGAGGGGGATCTCAGCAACATCGACGACCTGGTCGGCCTCGACTGGATGCTGGAGATGTTCGACAAGGGCTTCTCAGAGCAGCTCAGCAAGGACATCAGCTCCGCGAAGGGCGAGAAGCTGGCCCATGAGAGTTTCGTCACCGACCTGATGAAATTCAAAGTTCTGGGAGCTTGCAAAAGAGCGCTGGGCTCTCCAATCAGGAGGACGAGGAGGAGTAGGAGGAGGAGGGGAAGGGGGGTGAGGAGGAGGATGGGGGGGGATAGCAAGACAAGGAGGACGAGATGGGATAGGAGGACGGATGCGGGAGAGAACACGAACGGCACGATGAACGAAAGAATGAGGAGGGGGCCCCGAGCGCGAGGGGAAAGGTGATGAGGAGGGGGAGGGCGACCCGATGACGCGGGCGACGGAGGAGTCCGTCCTGGCGACCAGCCCCCACCCCGCCCATACGGAGGGAGTAGTCGATTCGCATTCGTACTTGCCAAATGCGGGGTGTTCGGGGTACCCGATTGCCCCCGTCGCTTCCCATCGCTGCCCCTCCTCGCCCACGCCCCGCAATTCTTGTCCCAGCCTCACCCTTCCACCTTCGACATTTCGTCCGCGCGTCCACGCGCGCAACTCCTGTTAGCTCGTCAATTTCGCCCGCGCTCATTCCCCTCAGCCGCATCCGCCTTCCATGACCCTATCACTACATGCCGTCCTGGCCTCGCCCCTCCACCTCGCCACATCCATCTCAGCTCCACCATGGGCCTCTCCTTGACCCACGTCCCCCACCCCCATTCGACACTGTGCGCGTCCGCCCCTGGCCGATGCACGAAGTGCAATCGTCCCCTTGGTGTTCCCCCTGTTCGCTTTCGGCCCTCCTCCCATCCACGAGCTCAAGCCGACTGATCGGCATTGGCTCCGATCACCCCGAGGTTCGTCAACCCCGATGCGCATCGCAAGACTCGCATGGGCCTTGTATCGTGGGGGGTGGCCACTGTGAGGGGGGATGGGCATGAGTGCATGCTGATTCACGGCCTCCAGAGGTCAAGGTGCGGGGGAAAACGCCCACTGGCAAGAACAACCCGCTGAACCCGCTGTACAAGAGGAAGTGCCCCGTGGCCGTGCCCGAGGGGAAAAACGACCTCACTCAGGCGGAGGCGAAGCAGTACTTGCCGCCGAACTGCTCGATCTGGCGCAATAACGTGACTGGATCGCTTATGCCTCAGCGCCTGGGGCGGAGGAGGGAGGGGCATGGTGGTTGGGCGATGGTGGAGTGGGAGGGTGATCGGATCACGGGATGTTGTTCGCTTGAGGGTGTCCGCATGTTCGCTTTCGTTGGCGTTCCCGCTCGTCGTGCATTCGTGCGCGGCACCGTCGCATTATTATCGGTCCTGCCGTTCGCCCCGCGAGTCTCCGTGGCCGCGTAGGTTGCGACGCCCCATTGCATCCATCCGCTTACCCGTCTGCGCCCTCATCCGCCTACACTTCCACTTCCCCAGCCTCGTATTCCGCCTCCTCATCCGTTTCGTTCGCCTTCTCATCCACCTCCCCGACTACACCCGCATCACTTTTTATATCGGAAGGGTCCTCCTCGGCATCTTCTTCGCCCTCCCACAGGCCCCCTCACCCCTCATCCCCAGCCCCCTCTTCCACCCCGCCCCCCCCCCCCATCCGCCTCCACCCCCGCTCGCATCTAGGGTGGAACTTCCACTTGCTGAACCACAGGCGCCAGAGCTGCCCGTGGAGCCGCTTCGGGGGCGACTCGCGCTTGGCGTGCTTGTCGGCCGTGAAGGCCGCTTGGACTTTGTGGTGCCAGGACGTGGTGCTGCCCACCTCGGCCTGCCCGATCAAGGGCGTTTTCGAATGAGATCGGCCCGCGCCGATCGGCTCGGCCGCGGCGTCGCTTTCGGCCAGGGTCGGCAGCGCAGGGCGCCTCGCTGTTGTCTTAACCCCCATCCCCCTCCATGGTCAGCCACAGCGCAAGGTAACCGTGTTAGTGCAATCAGGCGACGGGCCACGATTCTGGCATCATGCGTTTATCGTTTGTTTTTTTTGGAGTGTCGGGGGTCCAGGGGCCCGATGCAGCCGACAGTGCATGGGTCGATGCAGCGACGGCTTGATGTCTGTTCCAGTGGTTATCCCTCGGTCTCCCTCTCCGCGTCGTCGCCAAGCAGTAGCTTTTCAGCTGCGCGATGCGCCCTCAGAGCTTCGGTCGAGGCGACGGGGGTTGTTTCGTCTTGCCCAGGAGGCTCCTCGGGCAGGGCGCATCGCTTGCCTCTGCCAGATTGGCAGGCCCCGTGCGCGGCCGCGACGAGAGCGCTCCCGTGTCGCATGCCGTTAGGGGTAAATGGATGTTGCACTGCAGCTGTCAGCCGATCGCGATATCGAGCGGGGTCGTTTTGGAACGTGAGTGCCATCGCGACTGGCGAATCAGAGGCTGTCAGCGATATCGGTCGGGGCATCTTTGATCTGCCTCCATCGCGTTCCGAGCGATAGCGATTGGCACACCCTATGTATATACATGAAGCGTGACGATAGCCTGGAGTTCCTGGACCTTCGCGTTTTTGGGGCACGCCTGGAAACCGATGAAAGCAGTTTTGGTTTTCTGGAGCATGAGTTCCTGGGAAATGTTTGATGTGGCATGCCTCTCCCGCGCCCCCCCCTCCACCTCCTCGCTCTTCCCCCCCCGCCCTCTGCTCGCCCTCGCCCCCTGCGCCCTCCCCTCGCTGCCCCCCTTCCACTGGGGTCTGCCGCTGAGCCGCCGTGGGGCCTGCGTCAGGCGGGCGGGCGCGGATCCACCAGGGTCGCTGAATGCATCAATGATCGGTGATGGAATGGGGCCTCGCCCGTGTTGGCCCCTCCCCACGGACGCAACAGATGTCTCATGAGGTACCCCGACATTTTTTGCATGTACCTTCACCCGCCCGCCCCGCATCTTACATCCAACTGCTCCCACCCTCCTCTCCATGGTGGGATGCCCGTCCGCGCATCCGTCAGGGGGTCGAGCTTTTCCTTTTACATTCTTTCGGGGCGCATTCGTGCTCGGAGTCGGGCGGGCTGGGGCCATGTGCACGGACACTCGCTCCAAGAAGGCAGATCTTTTCGAGGGGGGCAACCTCTGGATGCCCTTCCCGTGGGAGTGGGGGCAGATGCGGCGCAATCGCGAGGCGAGGGAGGCGGCGAAGGCCGCCAAGGCCGCCAAGGCCGCCAGGTCGGTGATCTTGGTGCAGGACAGCGACGATGAGAACACTAGCCCCCGCACCGATGCCAGGGTGGTTGACCGCGCGTCGTTCTCCGACCTCTGGTCCGCCAGTGACCCTGAAGCGACCCCCAGCAGGTCCAGGAAGCGGTCTCTCGCCTCAGTTGTGAATTCGACCCCTAAGCTGCCCAAGCGCCCCCGCTACAAAGTTCATGCCTGTGGCGTGTGGCTCCCGAAGCTGAGAGGTTCCAAGTAGCGTGTGCTGTATTGTAGTTCGCTCAGCCCGCAGTCGAATTGAGGGGCGGCGATGCCGCGGCGATTGGAAAGGAAGCCGCGTCTGGGGGAGGGGCGGGGAAGGCAGTTTTTCGGAGGAGACGGAGGCGGACGTGGATGGGGGGCGGGGAGAGGGGGGAAGGGCGTGGAGACGGGGCCGCCGACGATGTCCAAGGCTTCGTTCCAGGGCGGGCCCGCAGGATTGGTACCGGACGACGGCCGCCGCGCGAGCGCTTTCCAGGGCGTCGGGGAGCGATGGCCGCGGAGGCCCCGAGATCCAGAGGGGGTTTGCCAGGATGATGGGGGAGGGAGGTGGCCGAACTCGCACGGGGCGGGCACAGGGTAGCATCGGCTAGCGGGCCCAGAGTGCAGGTAGACGGCGCCGCATTTGGGGGTAAAGGTGGAGAGTTCAGAACATTGATTGGGCATGCAATTGAGGGCTCAGAGCACGCGCGCACAACGTTGCAAGATCGAGATTGAGACCGATCGTGAGATCGATCTAGTCAGATCGATAGTGAGATCGGTCTAGATCGATAGTGAGATCGATGGTGAGATCGATAGTGAGGTCGATAGTGAGATCGGCAGTGAGATCGATCGAGAGAGGGTTCGTGAGATCGATTGTGGACTCCCCGTGGTGCGCCAGCGTTCGTCGTCCAGATGGTATGGCGTAGGGCGCGAGCGTTCGTCGTCCAGATTGCATGGCGTCGGCGCTCGCACGGAGCTCCCAGCGCACCGACGCCACGGGGCGGCTTCGAGCGCGGACAGACGACCTGGCACATCCAGGAGAGACAGGCGATGGAGCGAGAAAGAGAGAGACACAGGGAGAGCGACGAAACGGACACATGGCCAACTTTCGATGCATGCAGGGTATCCCGACGCACCATGGCATAGCGGCATACATACACATACATATAGAAATAATGCGGCAGGGCGACCGTTAGCACTGATCAGAGCTTTGCGGGGCCACCTTCGCCCGTGCCTTCGGAGCTCGCGGCTCTAGTTAGCTGCAGCACCCCGCCCCCCCTTCGGCGGCATCGGGGGCGGCAGGCTCCCGCGGGGCCATGGCCTCCTCTTCGAAGGGCAACGCGGCGCCTGGCTCTTTGTGCGCCACTCCGAGCACGAAGAGCTGGGACGAAGAGGTTGCTGTGCTCATGCGCAACCACGAGGTTGCTCACCATGGGATTGAAGTTTTGCGTTCGGGGTCCTCGGGCAGGGGGTAGATTCGTCCGACGACGAGTGCGTAGGTGCACGGAGCTGTCTAGTCGAGTTGGAAGGGGGGCATGCACGTCGTTTTGTCGTGCCCGCGCTGCCCAGGCTGCTGGTCGCTCGGGGCTGCTCAGCCTCTGCCGCTGGTTCGACTGCGGCTATTGTGGATGCTTCGCACGCCGCCCCCCTCTCGAGGGGCGATCGCCGCGGAGATGGATCGCGGATGGGGGGTGAGAGCGTGGGGCATGGAGCGGTGGGCGGGGAGAGATAGGAAGGGAGGGGTCTGGAACTGCTCCCGTCTCGCCCCACCCCCACTGCCCCTCCCCTTCCCCGTGCATCCCTCGGGCGTGGTGTGCTTCGCCCTCCATTCGCTCCCTCATTCTCGCCTTTCGCATCTCTTCCGTATTTGTTGTTTTTCCACTCCCCCGTCTCGGGCCCCTTCCTCCGCCCCTCACCCCTTTCCGCCCGCACGTCTCTTCTCTCCCCTGGGGGCCCCAGGAGTCAGTCGGGGTCGTGGCGAGAGCGGGGCTGGCGGGTTCAGTTTCCTTACTTTGCGCTTCGCTTCACTGCCGATGTGCAGTCCGCGGACGCGGTCGTCCCTGGGCCCACGTTCAAGGGCGTCGAGTTCTGGGACATCGACACGGAGAGGCTCGGGTACGGAGTGTCGTCGCTCCCGACGAAGGAGGACCGCTCTGGGCGCCGCAATGTCACGACCACGTTTCATATCCCCATGCTGCGACAGTGCTCATATTGCCCCTCTGTGCTTTCCATCCCGAGCTGCCCTCCCGCTCCATTTGCCGCTACCCGACCTGGCCGCCCCCGCATCCGTTACCCCCCCCCCCCCCCTCTCGCATTTCCATTGGGCGCCCCCCCTTCCGAACCTTATATCCCCATCTCTCCGCCCCTCCCTCTCAACCGCATCTCGCGCGCCCCGCCGTCCCAGGAGTACAAGTGCTGGGTTCAGAGCTGCGTGTGCAAGGACTTCGGCGGCCAGCCCGACGAGAGCGGCCTCTACACGGGCGGGTGGAGGGTGGGCTACTCGATCTGCGCCAAGTGGCCGTCGGCGCCGCACCCCGAGAAGAGCAAGAACACGTTCTTCTACAAGTGCGGCGACACGACGGGCATGGAGTGGGACCTGTGCAAGGTCGCGAACATGTGCAAGCTGACGCCGTGGGCTACTGCCTCAGCGCTTTGTCCATTGGCGCCGCTTGCCGCCATCCCGCTCATCTCCCCTCGCATTTCCCCGATGCCGTCCCGTGCCCAGCATTGGCCTCCCATCGCTCCTCGCATTCTGCCCCCCCCCCCCCCCGCTCGCCTCGCCCTCTGAGGGGGGATGGCGGCGATTATGATGCGGAGGATGGGGGCGGGGAGGATGCGGAATGAGGCGGGCAGCGTAGGGGGGCTGAGAGGGCGATCAGGAGGGTGAGGGAGGGGGGCAGGGGATGAGCGGCGGTGGGTTTCCGATGACGGGGGAGGGGTGGACGGAGTGCTCATTGCTGGCCTCGGCGTCGACGGCGATGGCATCGGCGTCGATGGTGGCGGCATCGGCGCCCTAAGGACCGCATCGTGGAGGTGGCGAGGTTCGGCGAGATGGCCAAGGACGTCATCAGCGAGTGGCTGCCGAAGGCGGTGTTCCTGGGCGAGGTGAAGCCCACGCGCGGCAAGAAGTACGTGCCTGAGATGCAGGACGTGCTGCTGCGGATGCTCATGATGGAGCTGAAGGTGGCCACGGCGACGATCTTCCGCGAGTCCGTCAAGGAGCACACGGACTTCGCGATCGCCTCGCTGAAGCCGAAGAAGGAGCTCAAGGCACGCGGGGGAGGTGGAGTGGGATGAGGACGAGAGGGCGATGAGGGAGAAAGGGGGGATCATATGAGGTATAATGCGGATGTAGAGTTGGATGGGGGAGGATTGGGGATACATACGATGATGATGAGGAGGAGGCGGAGGAGGTGACGACGATGTTAACGACGACGAATGGGGCGACGCCGATTGCGGTGACGACGAATGCGACGACGACCCCAACGACGAATGCGACGATGCCAGCGACGACGACTGACGGCGAATGCGACGACGACGACGACTCGATGATACACGCGGCGACGACGACGACGCCCGCCAGGCGAACAACAGCGAGACCAGCGACGGCGGCAAGCGCAAGAAGGCGGGCCAGAAGTCGTGAATGGCCGCAGCTCCAGATCCCGAGAATGGCCGCAGCTCCATATCCCTTGGTTTCGATTGCGCTTGGACCGAGTTTCGGCGTATGCGATCGAGCTCCCGATAGATGCAGCCTCTGAGTTGAAGCACTCCTCAGGGGGCGTTTCGACCCAGGGGCTGAGCTCGCGCCGAAACTCGGTCCACGCACAATCGAAAATCAAGGGAACTGGAGCTGTGACAATCTCGTGAAACAGAATCTCGAGCGTGTTTCAGAGCTGCAGGGGTGCTTGCAGCTTCAGGCGGCGCGACCGCCTGCCTGTGCACGCCGTGGGCTGCAGGCCCGCGGGACTTTGACCAGTGGGCAAGCCGCTGGCGCTCGGAAACGTTTCCGCCGTCGCCGTCGTCGTCGCCCGCCCCTCGTCCGCTTCATTCCCCCCGCCTCCTCAGCCCTTCCCCATCCGTCCTGCCCCCCCCTCTCTTGTCCCCCATCCTCCCCCCTTCCCCCTCCTGCCCTTCTACTACTATGATACTCGCTATGCTACTCGCTATGCTACTCGCTATGCTACTCGCTGTGCTACTCGCTATGCTACTCGCTATGGTACTCGCTGTGCTACTCGCTATGCCACTCGCTATGGTATTCGCAATGCTACTCACCATGCTACGGAGGTAGGCACGGAGGTCGAGGACGAGGAGTGCGGCACGGACGATTGGCAAACCGCTCATTAGTCGGTTTCGGTCTTGTGGGCCCCCGCCCCCATGCAATCTCCCCGATGGTACTTTTTTTTTTCAGCCGCCCGCGGGCCGCCCATGGGGTCGAGGGGTCTTGGTTCCGTCCTATAATATCTGGCATGCTGATAAGACAATATAGGGTAATCTGAGATAAGGCAATATAACATAATAGAAGATGAGATAATACCGGCCGGCCGACCGACCGAGGAAGAGGAGGAGGTGGAGGGCCGCGCTCGCCTCTTTGGCCTCGCCCTCCATCTGGGCCTTCTTGCCCGTCTCCTTCCACTCGGCCGCGGGGGCAGCGGCGTCCGTCGCCGCGTCGAAGAAGACGCGGCGCGCGTCGATGCGGGACTAGGGGTGGGGAACATTTTCCTACGCGCAACGTGCAGGGGGGGGGGGGGGGAGCGGAAATGACACCTCCTCTTGGGGCCATCTTGGGTCTCCTCTTGGGGCCCTTTTGGGTCTCCTCTCGGGGCCTTCTTGGGGCCCACTTGGGTCTCCTCTTGGGGCCATATTGGGTCTCCTCTTGGGGCGCTCTTGGGGCCCTCTTGGGGCCCTCGTGGGTCTCCCCTTGGGGCCCTCTTGGGGCCCTCTCGGGTTTCTGTTGGGGCCATCTTGGGGTCTTGGGGGGCGAGGCCATCTTGGGTATCCTCTCGGCGCCCGCGGAGACTGCCCTGAAGGCGATCTCACCCCGACCCTTCGCCCCCCCCCCCCCTCCCCCCTCCCCCTAGCAGAGGGCGCGGGGGGTGGGGCGCTGAGAAGGAGGATGGGTGATCAATCCACGAGAGGAGGGGGGGGGGCAGAAGGGGGGAGATATCCGGGAAGAAGGCAGATGGCTCTGTCCTGGTGCAGCTCCGCTGCCGCAGCGCAGTCCACCTGA